CCTTCGACTCTTCATGAACTCTTCTTACTCTGCTCATATTCTTCATCAATATCCCATATTATATTGAGAAATATATCCCATTGATAAATTTATTTACAATAAAAAATAAAAAATAATATGTATATATATAGGGTAAATAACAACCGCCTCCCTAAAGTAAAAATTAATTACAAAACAACCCCTTATTTTTAGAAATTACATTCAATGCCTTGTAATTTGTAAATTTCTTACATTCATCCCCTACAAAAGGTGTTAATATAAGAAATCCACATATTGTAACAGTGTGTAATTCTAAAAAATGTAGGGAATTTTTCGGAAATAAACTTTACCTCAGGGTGATTGTAATCATAAAAAGGGTAAATTACAACCACGGGTATTATCAAATTACAAAAATCCCCCTCTTGTTTGATTAATTACATCTACCCCTCAACTGATAATTACATTCATCCATCAACTATAAATTTTCTTACATCTCCACCTTATGGTATCAAATACAAGGTAACCATCTAGAATATTCCCCAAAATATTCTCTAATTTGTACTCGTTTTGTGTAAATACACATTTTATAATCATCTTACTTCAAAATGTAGAGGTCGAATGGAATAAAACAGGTACAAAAGTGAAAATATTTCATATAATCAAGAAGATCCACTAAATTTGAAACCGCAAGGATGAATGTGTAAGAAGATTTAATAGTTAGGGGCGACTGTAATAATCCAAATATGAGAAATTTTTTCGTAATTTGACCATAACTCAAGGGTGGTTGTAATTTACCCTCATAAAAATATATAGATTACCAGGGGAATTTCCATGGACAATTTTATCCTCATCGTCCTTAGAAAGAGACTGATTCCCCCCATATTCTGCTCCGAACCCTTCTTCGTCGGATCTCTTTGCGTACCCTCCAGATGAAACCCTAAATAAATAAATAATTATATCTATTTATTTCTTTATTTTATTTATTTTTTAAGGCAAGTGGAAAACTAACCCGGTATCGGATTTGTGACCTTCTTTTCGATCCGGTTTCTCATAAGCGCCGGGTTGACCCGACCCGGAAACAACTTGGGCAAATCTGACAGCACCGCCGGCGCCGGAATATTTCCGGTGGGGAGAGAGTAGGAGAAAAGAGATGCAGCTTGCGCTCTGAGCAGTGCTCTAAGCGAGTTCACCATTGTTGTAATTTTGATCACCTTTGATCTTGTGGTCTTTTTCTCGGAAATTAATTAATTATGTTACATATAATAATTTCTAAATTAACGGATTTAATTTATAGATAATATAAATAAGGGTAAATTACAAACACCTCCTGAGGTATGGTCAAATTACAAAAATACCCCTCTTGTTTGGATAATTACAACCACCCCTCAACTCCTCAAATTTAGTGGAATCTTCGAGATTATACGGAATATTATCACTTTTGTCCACGTTTTATCCCATTCAAACTCTACATTATGAAACAAGAGGAAAATAATATGTGATTTTTAGCTTGTATATATCAGTTTGTGGTGCATCGGAAACTGCATTTTTACACAAAATGAGTACAAACTAGAGCACATTCCACGGAATTTAGATGATTATGTTGAATTTGACACCATACAGGTGAAGATGTAAGAAAAAAACATTGTTAAGGGGGGTATTTGTAATTATCCAAACAAGAGGGAGTGTTTTTATAATTTGACCATACCTCAGGGGTGTTTATAATTTACCCTAAAAATAAAGATGCACAAAAAAAGAGAGGATTACATGCAAAGTCTGGCAAATTACGAGTCGTGGTGCGAATCCAGGGTTCTAGCTTCACACGTGTCACTTTTTGGTTTTCGAATTATTGTGTTTATTATAAGGTCGAATACAAATTTTTACTATATTATCACCGGCATAGCATATATTTTTTGTATTATAAGTTATGAAGGGGTTTTTGTACGTAAGTCTTAACCGAATTTTTATTATTCTAAATTTAGGGACTATAGCTCTTTCACCAATAATCTCATCCTTT